GGCATCTGTGACCCCCCCAGGACTCTAGAAAGAACCAGCCAAGTCTTTGGCTCCTGTCTTTGACCACCTGCCCCCCCTGCCATTACTCTAAGTGTTATTTAAAAGTCTTTTTTGGGGGGGCTGCACGATTGATGCTCGCTCCAGAGAAGAGGTGGGGAACGGTGGCCCCTTTACGACTCGTGGACTTCAACTCCCAGAATTCCTGAGCCAGCTTGGTCCCCGCTTTGGAGTTGAGCCCCCCCTGTCCTCATATCGGGTCCATGCCACAGGCACCCCCCTCCCTATGAATTAGGAAACAACCCCCCAATATATTCCCCTTTTCAAATCCGTTTGGGGGAGCAGGAAAAGGCCCACCTGCCCCCCACCTCCATGGATGCATATTAATGGGCACATTGGCCCCACCCAACACCGGTCGGGCATCCGTAGTCCCCCCCAGCCAGAAAGAAGCAGCCAGAACCCCCCCCCCCAGCCATAAAGAAGCTCCAACACTGGAAGTTTTTAAGAAGAGACCGGGCAGCCATTTGTCCGAAATGGTATAGGATTTCCTGCCTGAGGAGGGGGTTGGATTAGATGACCTCCAAGGTCCCTTCCAACTTTATTATTAATTATTATTATTAGCTCAAGTCTTTGGCTCCTGTCTATCATGACCTGCCATTTGCCCCCCCCCTTCCTTTGTTCTGCCATTACCGTTATTTAAAGGTCTTTTTTTGGAGGGGGGGTTGCATGATTGATGCTTGCTCTAGAGAAGAGGTAGGGAACGGTGGCGCCTTTACGACTTGTGGACTTCAACTCCCAGAATTCCTGAGTCAGCTATGTTCAGGCTTCCCTGCTGGCTGAGGAATTCTGGGAGTTGAAGTCCAGAGGTGGTAAAGGGGCCAGAGTTGCTGGCTGAGGAATTCTTGGAGTTGAAGACCAGAGGTCATTAAGGGCCATAGTTGCTGGCTGAGGAATTCTGGGAGTTGAAGACCAGAGGTCATTAAGGGGCCATAGTTGCTAGCTAAGGAATTCTGGGAGTTGAAGTCCATCGGTAGTTGCTGGCTGAGGAATTCTGGGAGTTGAAGTCCAGAAGTCATTAAGGGGCCATAGTTGCTGGCTGAGGAATTCTGGGAGTTGAGTCCAGAGGTCCTTAAGGGGCCATAGTTGCTGGCTGAGGAATTCTGGGAGTTGAAGTCCAGCGGTCATTAAGGGCCATAGTTGCTGGCTGAGGAATTCTGGGAGTTGAAGAACAGAGGTCATTAAGGGGCCATAGTTGCTAGCTAAGGAATTCTGGGAGTTGAAGTCCATCGGTAGTTGCTGGCTGAGGAATTCTGGGAGTTGAGTCCAGAGGTCGTAAAGGGGCCATAGTTGCTGGCTGAGGAATTCTGGGTGTTGAAGTCCAGCGGTCATTAAGGGCCATAGTTGCTGGCTGAGGAATTCTGGGAGTTGAAGTCCAGAGGTCGTAAAGGGGCCACCGTTCCCCACCTGTCCTCTAGAGCAAAGTTGAATGGCTTCGGAACGCATAGCTTCTTGTTGAGGTGAATGCCGTTAGTCCTCGAGTTACGGCCACAACGGAGCCCGAAATTTATGTGGCGAAGCAAAGACAGTTACTTGAGCTTTGTCCCATTTTATGACCTTTTTTTACCACAGTTGTTAAGTGAATCGCTGCGGTTTTTAAGTTAGTCACGCGGCTGTAAAGTGAATCTGGCTTCCCCTCTTTTTGCTTGTCGGAAGGTCGCAAAAGGGAATCACATGACACCCCCCGGGACACCGCAACCGTCGCAAGTACATGCCAGTTGCCAAGTGTTTGAATTTTGATCCCGTGACCACGACCACCGCAGCAGTTGTAAAGTGTGAAAATTGTTCGTAAGTCCCTTTTTTCCTGGTTCTTTTGAACGGTCGCTAAATGAACCGTTATAAGTAAAAAAAAAATGCCTGAACACGGGGTTGGACTAGATGACCTCCGAGATCCCTTCCAACTTTATTATTATTATTAAGTTGAGGACTACCTTATATTTGGAGTTTCTTACATCAAATAATTTGCAGTTCACACAGTCCACAATGGGCCCTTTGCAGGGGGGTCCGCCGAGATATTTCTCTTTAATTATCCGGCCCGCAAAGTTTTAATTCCGTTAAATCTCTTTTAAAATCTTTTTACTGGAAACGAGAGTCTTCCACGCTTTCCATCTTAAGGTTTTTTTAACCCGGCGGAGAGGGAGGGGGGGCGTGGGGCAGAACTGGTGTGTTGGAAAAGCCCCCCCCACCTCCCCCGACCTCCCGCCCCCCCCAGACCTCCCCCCAACCCACAAGTCACAACTTGTGAATATGACGTGTAAATCCATAACGCTCATGATTTCGTTCTGAAGATCAAGTAGTGATCTCTCGGGACAGATTTAAAGCCAAGAGTTTGTAACTGTACGATATTTACTGTAAGATTGTAGAACATTCGAGAAAACTTATTAAAAATATTTCCAAAAAAAGAAATATTAAAAAAAAAACCTACCCAAGATCTTGAGTCTTGATTTCAAAGGGTCTGTTTTCAAAGACAATGGACGTTTTTGCGTAACGGGATTCAAACTTTCAACCTGCAGGTAATCTTCAACTTACAGGCCCCAATTGAGCCCCTCCAATTTATGCCGCTAAGCGAGACAGATCGTTCAGTGAGTTTTTGCCCCCATTTTGCCACCGTTGTTAAGTGAATCACGCAGTTGTTAAGCGAATCCGGCTTCCCCATTTGACTTTGCTTATAAAGAAGGCCCCCAAAGGGGATCACAGCACGCTGCGGCCGTCACAGATAGGAATCAGTTGCCAGGAATCGAAATTCTGATCACGTGACCCTGGGGACGCTGCAACGGTCGTTAAGTGTGAAAAATGGCCATAAGTCAAAAGTCACATTTTTCAGTGCCATTACAACTTCAAACCGTCACTAAGTGAATGATTGTAAGTCAAGGACTACCTGTAGCTCATGGGCAAAGAGAAGGTGGAGGGGCTGGTGGCAGAAGTGGGATACCTCGAAAAAGGCAGAAGTTGGTGGATTTTACACACAAAAACCCACGAACCGTTGAGAGCCGCTGACTTTTCAACATACAAATTGTGCCTTCCCACGATTTTGTTACCGTTTGTCGTCAATCAAGGGAAGCTCCACCGGTTGCAAAATTGTGCGACGTGTCAAAAAGTCCATTTAAAAATAAAAAATTAAAACGCCAGTTTTTAGTCCATCTTGGTGTTTGGTACTAGGGATTTTTTTTATATAATGGAGGGGGAAGAAATTCAGGGATAGACAGAGAGGGAGAGATATACAGGTGGTCCTCGCTTTACGACCCCCCAATTGGGATAATTTCCGCTGCTAAAGAAGGTGGTTGTTAAAAGTGAGTTGTGCCCGATTTGGCCAGTTTTTTTTTTTTGGCCGAGGTTGTCAAAGCGAATTGCTGCAGTTGTTAAGTGAATCATGCGGTCGTTAAGTGAATCCAACTTCCCCATTGACTTTGCTTGTCAGAAGGTTGCCCCCGGGATACTGCAGCCGTCGTAAATACGAGTCAGTTGCCAAGCATCCAAATTTCGATCATATGGACACGGGGGATGCTTCAACCGCCGTAAGTGTGAAAAACGGTCATAACTCACTTTCTTCCCTGCACTTGTAGCTTTGGTCACTAAACGAATTGTTGTATGTCAAGGACTTTGTACACCAATCTCTCTTTCTCGCCCTTCTTTCCTTTCCTCTCTATGTCCAGCCCTGGACTTTCCTTGTGGAAGAGCGCCCTCTGCTGGATACCTCCAGCTAGTGCATTTAGCAGCGGAATCTGTTTCTTTTGATTCTCCTGTGAATTTCATCATTTCCTTCAGTGCATTTTAGCCCCCCAGGTGTTAAAGAACACAGGTGTGTGGACGTGATAGAGTGATGGAGCTACAGGGAGAGTCATACTTCGTTTTGGCCCCAGGCTATTTGTGACTTTATCTTAGAAAAGGAGTTTGTCTAAACTGGGAGATGTTGCTAAAGATCAGGGGACCGTATTCAAAGTAGAGTAGAGTAGAGTAGAATAGAAATAGAATAGAAATATAGAATGGAATGGAATGGAATAGAATAGAAGAAATGAAGAATAGAATAGAAAGAATAGAATACAACAGAACAGAATAGAAATACAGAATAGAATAGGAGTAGAATAGAAATATACAATAGAATAGAAATATAGAATGGAATTGAAGGAATGAAGAATAGAATAGAAAGAACAGAACAGAATAGAAATACAGAATAGAATAGAAATATAGAATAGAAACAATAGAAATATAGGAATAGAATAGAATAGATGAAGAACAGAACAACAACAATAGAATAGGAATAGAATAGAAATATAGAATAGAATAGAATAGAATAGAATAGAATAGAATAGAATAGAATAGAATAGAATAGAAATGAAATATAGAATGTTGTTCGTCCATCGATTTTGATGAAGACCTTGACATCTTGTGGATTGTGGGCCATCAGCGGTGTGTCCATAGATGGCTGATGAGACCGATGTTAGCACGGAATGTTCTGCCACATACTGAACAGAGAAATGTGGACACTGTTGCTTCAGCATTTGCAGCTCTGGCTTTACGGAGTGCTCGCTTCTCTTGTGCCAAGATTGTCCTTCTGTGTTCATATGTCTGGCAACCCTGGTAAACCAGGGTACGCCANGTCTCCTGGTGATTGGCCCAAAGTCACCCAGCCAGCTCTCGTGTCTCAGGCGGGACTAGAACTCACCGTCTCCTGGCGATTGGCCCAAAGTCACCCAGCCAGCTCTCGTGTCTCAGGTGGGACTAGAACTCACCGTCTCCTGGTGATTGGCCCAAAGTCACCCAGCCAGCTCTCGTGTCTCAGGCGGGACTAGAACTCACCGTCTCCTGGCGATTGGCCCAAAGTCAGCCAGTCGGCTTTTGTGTCATGTGAACCCAGACATCAGGACTTCAACTGACCCGGCTGAGCCTCTGTGCTCACAGCAAGGACTTTGTTAGCCATTAAAGTTTTCAAACCATTGGAAGTCCTATTATTGGGTTTGGGTTCTTGGCTCCAAATCTGGACATCGCACTTGCAGATGGACGGAGAGAGGCCGGAAGTCATCAATAAGAAGGAAGATCAGGTATTTGGTCACCTTTAACCTTGAGAAGGCTGACCAGGTGGAGAAGAAGGAGATTGGTCTTTGGAGAAGATGTCTCACCAGGTGATCCACCCCCTTTCTCTAGGGCAGGATACAGAAAATGGCTGTTCTGAACAAAATAACAGAGCTGGAAAGGGACCTTGGAGGTCTTCTAGTCCAACCCCGTTTAGGCAGGACACCCTTTACCATTTCAGACAGATGGCTGTCCAATCTCATAGCCCCCCAGACGTTCAGTTTGAAAGAAGGTCCCAATTGCGCAGAAGGTCCACTGAGCACAAAAACAGGTTGGCTCTTCTCCAGATGTCATCCAGTAGATCCCTGCCCCGAGCCCAAGGGGGTTGGGCTGGATGGCCTCTAGGATCCCGTCCAAGCTCAAACCCTTCCAGCGGGATTCGCTGGGTATAACCCACTCACGGGTTACTCATAGGGTAGGAGCCATTTACTCAACTAATCAAGGGAAGAAACAACCTAGAACTAAGGAGAAACTTCCTGACAGTTAGGACAATTAACCAGTGGAACTCCTTGCCTCCAGGAGTTGTGAATGCTCCAACACTGGAAGTTTTAAAGAAGAGGCTGGACAGCCATTTGTCCGAAATGGTATAGGGTTTCCTGCCTGAGCAGGGGGTTGGACTAGATGACCTCCAAGGTCCCTTCAAACTACTACTACTACTTCTTCTTCTTCTTCTTTTCTTCTTCTTCTTCTTCTTCCTCCTCCTCCTCCTCCTCCTCCTCCTCCTCCTCCTCCTACTACTACTACTACTACTACTACTACTACTAAGGCACTTCAAGGCAGTTAAGTTGAATTTTGTGAAGTGATCCTCAGTGGACTGTGGACAATTTGACACCCCCAGGCAATTCTAACTCCTGTTTTATTTATTAAGAAAATATTTATGGCCACCCAACTCATCCTGCGCAGAGTACGGGGCCAATCTCCTTGCCGCAGGGTTGATGTTCCACAGGGAGGGAGCCACCACGGAGCAGGCCCACCTCCTGGGTCCCATCAGATGGACCTCCTCAAGGGAGGGGACCCCGTAACATCCACCTGCTTCCCCAGCCTGTTGGATTGGGTGGATCTAACTAGGATCAACTAACCTGATCCCAAGCTAGGGGGGGCTTTGAAGATGACAATCAGCACCTCGAATTGGACCCCAAAGCAAAGCGGCACCCGGCGCAGATACCCACAAAGGAGGCGACACGGGTGCAAAAATAGGCTTGCAAAAAAACCAAGATGGGCCACTGCAGTTTGAACCAGTTGAAGCTTCCGGGTAGTGTTCAAGGGCAGCCCCGTTGACAGAGCGCATTGTGGTAGTCAAGACAGGCGTGTGGGTGAGTGTGAGCAGAGCTTGAGTTGTCTGCTCAACACTTTCTCTCCCACCCAGCCCCCCCCACTCCGACAAAACTGGGGCAACCGCCAGCCTTTGATCCGTTTTTCCGGTTTTTATTCATCAACATATAGAAACGAAACTTCCGGTAAGGCCCGTTCCGTTTAACGTCGCACCGCGAAGGGTGGGCAATAAATAAACCCGGGGACAAAACGGGGAGGAGCCCACCGCGCGGGGGGCGGGCCAGGCGCCTCCACCTTGCTTCGCCCGCATAAATAATACGTGGGGGGGGGGAAATCACGAGAAAACCAAAATAAATAAAAAAAATGGATGGGAATGACGCTTGGTTAGTAATAGGGTTGCTAAGGGAATCTGCTTTCCCCCTTGGCTTCGCTCGTCGGAACGTCGCAAAAGGGGATGACGTGACCCGGGGACATTGCGACCGTCATAAATACGAGTCAGTTGCCCAAGCCTCCGAATTTGGACCAGGAAGGATGCTGCAAGGATCGTAACTGGAAAACGGTCGTTAAGTCACTTTTTTCAGTGCTGTTGTAACGGTCAAATGGTCACTAAATGAAACGGTTGTAAGTCAAGGGATATCTGTATTTTCTTTTCTTTCTTTCTTTCTTTCTTTCTTTCTTTCTTTCTTTCTTTCTTTCTTTCTTTCTTAATAAACGGTTATAACTCAAGGGCAACCTGTATATATTTTTCTTTCTTTCTTTCTTTCTTTCTTTCTTTCTTTCTTTCTTTCTTTCTTTCTTTCTTTCTTTCTTTCTTTCTGAATGGTTATAAGTCAAGGGCTACCTGCATCTATCTATCTATCTATCTATCTATCTATCTATCTATCTTTCTTTCTTTCTTTCTTTCTTTCTTTCTTTCTTTCTTTCTTTCTTTCTTTCTTTATGGGTATAAGTCAAGGGCTACCTGTATCTATCTATCTATCTATCTATCTTTCTTTCTTTCTTTCTTTCTTTCTTTCTTTCTTTCTTTCTTTCTTTCTTTCTTTCTTTCTTTTTCTTTCTGGTTATAAGTCAAGGGCTACCTGTATCTATCTATCTATCTATCTATCTATCTATCTATCTATCTATCTATCTATCTATCTATCTATCTATCTATCTNCCTCCTCCTCCTCCTCCTCCTCCTCCTCCTCCTCCTCCTCCTCCTCTCCGCAAACCCCCCTCTCTTCTACTACCGATGACGTTACCTAGTTGGGTCATGAAACGTCTGCAAGAAAAACCACCCAACTCAGAGAGCACCAAGGACCCTCACAGTTCCTCCCTGACCCACAAATATTCTCTTTTATCGATGCTTTCTCAGTCCTGAATCTCCTGGCTGGTCGTGCTGGGAAGGCAAACCCAGACTGGCTCGCTTCCTCGCTCTCTCTCTCTCTCTCGGGGTCTTTCCCCCTCTCCTTGGAAGCTGAAGAGACCCCCCCCCGACTTACCTCTTGCTGACTCTCTGCCCCCGTGGGCCGCGTCAGTTTCCCCCCGTGGCTGGCCAGCAGCTTCGGCTCCGGGGCGAGGGAGGGGTGAGGAGGGGGCTTGCTGGGCTCGGCCTCCCCCACCCCCTCGGAGATGGTCTGCAGTTCCGTGGGGTTGGCTCTCTGCTCGGGGATACGGGCCACGCGGAACCTGAGAGAAAAAGCAAAGGCAGCGTGGAGTTGCCTCCCGGACGACGGAGAAGGGACACAGGGGGGCCGTACAAGCTTAAGGCATCTTGCAATTTTTGGCCCACTGCAGGTAGTAGTAGTAGTAGTAGTAGTAGTAGTAGTAGTAGTAGTAGTAGTAGTAGTAGTAGTAGTAGTAGTAGTAATAATAATAATAATAATAATAATAATAATAATAATAATAATAATAATAATAATAATAATAAAGTTGGAAGGGAGCTTGGAGGTCATCTAGTCCAACCCCCTGCCCAGGCAGGAAACCCTGTACCATTTCAGACAAATGGCTGTCCAGTCTCTTAGAATAGAATAGAGTTGGAAGGGATCTTGGAGGTCATCTAGGCCAACCCCTTGCTCAGGCAGGAGACCCTATACCATTTCGGACAAATGGCTGCCCAGTCTCTTTAGAATAGAATAGAGTTGGAAGGGACCTTTGAGGTCATCTAGTCCAACCCCCTGCCCAGGCAGGAAACCCTATACCATTTCAGACAAATGGCTGCCCAGTCTCTTTAGAATAGAATAGAGTTGGAAGGGACCTTGTAGGTCATCTAGCCCAACCCCCTGCTCAGGCAGGAAACCCTATATCATTTCGGACAAATGGCTGTCCAGTCTCTTCTTAAAAACTTCCAGTGTTGGAGCATTCACCGCTTCTGGAGGCAGGTTGTTCCACTGGTTAATTGTTCTAACTGTCAGGAAGTTTCTCCTTAGTTCTAGGTCCTCGACTTACGATGATTCATTTAGTGACTGAGGTTACAATGGCACTGGAAAAAACCCCAGTCCTCACACGTACAACTGTTGCATCCTCACAGTCGTCACTTGGTCAAAATTTGGAGGCTCGGCTAACTGGTTTGTACAGGTAGTCCTCGACTTACAATGATTCATTTAGTGACTGTTTGAAGTTACAATGGTACTGAAACAAACCAACTTCTATCCGGTCCTCACACTTACGATGATTGCAGCATCTTCACAAAGCAGGAAACCCTATACCATTTCAGACAAATGGCTGTCCAGTCTCTTAGACTAGAATAGAGTTGGAAGGGACCTTGGAGGTCATCTAGTCCAACCCCCTGCTCAGGCAGGAAACCCTATACCATTTCAGACAAATGGCTGTCCAGTCTCTTCTTAAAAACTTCCAGTGTTGGAGCATTCACCACTTCTGGAGGCAGGTTGTTCCACTGGTTAATTGTTCTCACTGTCAGGAAGTTTCTCCCTAGTTCTAGGTCCTCGACTTACGATGATTCATTTAGTGACTGAAATTACAATGGCACTGGAAAAAAAAACCAGTCCTCACACGTACGACTGTCGCATCCTCACAGTCGTCGCTTGGTCAAAATTTGGAGGCTCGGCTAACCGGTTTGTACAGGTAGTCCTCAACTTACAATGATTCATTTAGTGACTGTTTGAAGTTATAACGGTTCTGAAACAAACCAACTTCTATCCAGTCCTCACACCTATGATGATTGCAGCATCTTCACAAGTAGTTGCACAATCAAAATTTGGACGCTTGGCTACTGGCTTGTGCAGGTAGTCCTTGACTTACAGCGATTCATTTAGTGACCAATTCAAACTTACATGGCGTTGAAAAAGGCGACTTATGGCCGTTTTTCACGCTTACGACCGTGGCAGCCTCCCCACGGTCACGGAATCAAAATGTGGGCGCTTGGCCACTGACTCCTATTTATGACTCTTGCGTTGTCCCAGGGACACGTGATCCCTTTTGCCGACCTTCTGACCAGCAAGGTCAATGGAGAAACTAGATTCACTTAACAACCATGTTAATCACCTTATAATCACAGCGATCCACTTAACGACGGGGGCAAGAAAGGACGTCAAAAACGGGGCAAAATTCGGTTAAAAACTGTCTCACGTAGCGGCAGAAATGTTGACCTCAGTTGGGATTGTTAGTCGAGGACTGCCTGTATCCTATTTCTCTTGTTTCTCCTCCTAAGCATGGTACACAAAATTTGACCTCTTAAGGACTAGCAACTTGTGTTTTTTTAAAAAAAATAAACAGCCCAGAGGAGGCTGAATCCTACACTGGCCTGGCAAGTCGTTCAAAGGTGCGCCTCGGACCTTACCTGCCCACGGAGAGGATGGTGATCTCTCCCGGCCGGGGGGGCTTCAGGGCGTGGCTGCCAGGCAGGACGGTCGTGGACACGGCCTCGGTGGACCGCAGCATCTCCGGCCACTTCTTCTGGCTGCAGCGGGTGCAGCTGGGCCCCGAGCGCATGGCCAGGCCCTGGACGGTGTGGAGGTGGTGCTGATGCTGGCAAATGTGGGGGATCTGGGGCAGGAGATGCAACCTGGGCAGGGCGGGGGGGAAGAAACGACTGTCATTTGGAGTGACAGAGCAAAGGGCCAATCGGAGACCGGCTAGGACGATTTTAGCAGGAGCTGGATTGGCTCGGGGTTGGTTGGCTTTCGAAGCCCATCATCCTTAACCCTGGGCTCGGAAGGATGGGATACAGCGTTCAGGGAAGGCGGTCGAGGGATCGGATCTCCTGAGCTGGGAAAACGGGGGTTCAAATCCCTGTTGGACGATTCGATAAAAAAAAAATCAGGGAATAGCCATAGCAAGCGCCCTTAGATTTATATACCGCTTTCCAGCTCTCTCTAAGCGGTTTACAGAGTCGGCGTATTTGCCCCCAACAATCCGGGTCCTCATTTTAGCGACCTCAAGAAGGACGTAATGCTGAGTCAACCTTGAGCTGGTCAGGATCGAACTGCTGGCAATAGGAATGCAGAGTTTGCCTGCAATACCACATTCTCACCACGGCGCCACCGTGAAAACCAGCTTGCCCCGGAAATAATAATAATAATAATAATAATAATAATTTAATTTGTACCCCGCCCTTCTCCTCACAGGACTCAGGGCGGCTATAAACCCGTTAAGAAGATTCACGGGTTCAAAAGTCTTAAAATGGTGCTTGGGACATGCGTAAAAAAAGGCTCACGGTTTTGAGAGCATCACGACAGCCACCCTGGTGCCTTTTCAGACACACACACACACACACACACACACACACGGACACACACACGGACACACACACACACACGGACACCCCCAACCACCAACAAGGCTGTGATTTGCGCAATCCACCAGACCCCGAACAGCAGAAAAACAAGCCAGTTTAAAGCTTTCCGTCTTCTGCTAACAGGGAGCCACTATATATAATAACTGTTATATACATAATGTATAATACATTCTTTATTTAGGAGATTTTTTATCCCGCCTTTATTAGTTTTAGAAATAATTCAAGGTGGCAAATATTCTCTCCTATTTTCATCAGCACAACAACACTGTCAGGTGCACTGGGCTGACAGAGACTGGCTGAAGGTCACCTAAGGCAGGACTAGAACTCGTCACCTCCCTGGTGATCGGCCCAAAGTCACCCAGCCGGCTTTCATGCCTAAGGCAGGACTACAACTCACCTTCTCCTAGTGCAGAGGTAGGCAACCTCAGCTCTTTTATGACTCATGGACTTCAACTCCCAGAATTCCTGAGCCAGCATGGGGGAACTATGGCCCCTTCATGACTTGCAGACTTCAACTCCCAGAATTCCTGAACCAGCATGGCTCAGCTTGGAAACCTCTCCCTTTCCCCTCAGCATGGCTGGTTGAGGAATTCTGGGAGTTGAAGTCCACCAGTCATGAAGGGGCCATAGTTCCCCCATGCTGGCTGAGGAATTCTGGGAGTTGAAGTCCACCAGTCATGAAGGGGCCATAGTTCCCCCATGCTGGCTCAGGAATTCTGGGAGTTGAAGTCCACGAGTCATGAAGGGGTCATAGTTTCCCCATGCTGACTCAGGAATTCTGGGAGTTGAAGTCCACGAGTCATGAAAGGGCCATAGTTCCCCCGTGCTGGCTCAGGAATTCTGGGAGTTGAAGTCCACAAGTAATGAAGGGGCCATAGTTCCCCCATGCTGGCTCTGGAATTCTGGGAGTTGAAGTCCATGAGTCATGAAGGGGCCATAGTTCCCCCAGGCTGGCTACAGAATTCTGGGAGTTGAAGTCCATGCGTCATAAAAGAGCTGAGGTTGCCTAGGGCCCAAAGTCACCCAGCTGCTTTTCACCCTTAAGACAGGACTAGAACTCTCCATCTCCTGGTTTCTAGGCCAGCACCTTAACCACTAGCCAAACTGGCTAAAATGGCCCCCAAATCCTTGTGAGAAAAGTCTCAGCTCAGCTCAGCCTTCCTGTTAAAAACCTTCCAACTTTGTGGAGCAGAAAAGGCTGCAAAAAAAAAGAATATTTTTTTTTGCCCCAGATAGGAAGGAAGTGGGTCACCTACTTGTTCACAGGCTTGTAAATCGGCTGGGCAAGTTGCTTGCTGTGGTACTCCTTCAGCATCTCTTCCAGGACGGCTGCATTTTCTGCGGGCAAGAAATTGGGGGGAAATCAGGTTTTTTTAACAACGGCGCCAAGGAAATGAAAGCGAGCGAGGGAAGTCAGGACATCTCCATTGCACCAAAAAGAAAAAAAAAAATCAGATTTCTGGAGGGCGGCTTAAACTCGATAGGTGGACAAAAATGCCAAATCCAGTCTGAACATCTGGCTGACTGTGTGATGAACAATAATAATAATAATAAAGAACTGGAGGGATCATAAAATAGAGAAAGTCATAGAAAATGATAAAAAAAAACAACATCCAGCACTTCGGTGGGATATCAATTGCAAATCTGCACACACACACATACACAAATGCACACACACACATATCACCTGGAAGACAGCAGTGACAAACAAAATCCATGATGCACCCAGGAAACCTCCCAAGGACAATTTTTAAGGGGCTGAATTCAACCTGAATCTACTTTTATTTTTCTCTTACGGCTCTTCCAAATATCCTGCTGGAATGCTAACCTAAACAGGAAGTCCTCGACTTACGATGACGCCTGAGCCCAAATTTTCCACTGCTAAGCAAGGCAGTTTTAAGTGGGTTGCGCTCCATTTTACAACCTGCCTCCAGAAGCGGTGAATGCTCCGACACTGGGAGTCTTTAAGAAGAGACCGGACAGCCATTTGTCTGAAATGGTATAAGGTTTCCTGCCTGAGCAGGGGGTTGGACTAGATGACCTCCAAGGTCCCTTCCAACTCTATTATTATTATTATTATTATTATTATTATTATTATTATTATTATTATTATTATTATTATTATTATTATTATTATTATTATTATTAACTGCAGTGATTCGCTTAACAAACATGAGCGAGAAAAGTTGTAAAATGGGGCAAAACTCAACAAATTTCTCAGCAACGTAAGTTTTGGGCTCAATGGTGGTCGGTCATATGTTGAGGACCACCTGTACACAAACACACACACACTACTTGTGATGCAAAAGCAGAATGGCCCAGTTACTTGGCACCCAGTTCAATGCTACAAACCAGGCAGAGCATTCGTATCTGTTGTGGGTCTGGGGTCTCCTTAACCCTTGTTCTCAAAGGCTTGTTGTTGTTAGTTGCTAGTTGCGAAGTCGTGTCCGACCCATCGCGACCCCATGGAGAACGTTCCTCCAGGCCTTCCTGTCCTCTACCATCTTGTGGAGTCCATTGAAGCTCAGGCCTCCTGCTTCAGTGACTCCATCCAGCCCCCTCCTTCTCTGTCGTCCCCTTCTTCTTCTCTTGCCCTCCATCTTCCCCAGCATCAGGCTCTTCTCCAGGAAGTCCTTCCTTCTCATTAGGTGGCCAAAGTCCTTGAGTTTCCACTTCAGGATCTGGCCTTCTAAAGAGCAGTCAGGGTTGATCTCCTCCAGGACTGACCGGTTGGATCGCCTTGCAGTCCAGGGGACTCGCAGGAGTCTTCTCCAGCAGCAGAGTTCAAAGGCCTCCATTCTTTGGCGCTCAGCCTTTCTTACGGTCCAACTTTCACAGCCATACATTGCAACTGGGAAAACCATGGCCTTGACTCTACGCACTTTTGTTGGCAGGGTGACGTCTCTGCTTTTTAGTATGCTGTCTAGATTTGCCACGGCTTCCCTCCCCAGGAGCAATTCTTCCTTGAAACCAGTGCAACGAAGTGGCCCTCCTAAAGAGCGACCGACAACATTGACAGGACTCACAAACGCACCCTAGATCTGGGGAAAGGACAGGGATGCCTTCCTCTGAAAAGAGCCCCTACCTTTTTTCTCGGTGATGAGCCGCACCAGCACCCCGATGGTGTCCTCGTTAAGGTCTTCAGTCTTATAGCCCGAACTGTTCCCTAAAAAATGAAGTTCACAGTTAGAGCCCCGATTTTTGAAAAGAAGTTTGGTCTAGCGGTGAAGGCATCAGGCTAGGGACCAGAAGACTACGAGTTCTAATCCTGCCTTAGGCATGAAAGCCAATTGGGTGAGTTTTGGCCAATCACCAGGAGACGGAGAGTTCTAGTCCCGCCTTAGACACAAAAGCTGGGTGGGCGACTTTGGGCCAATTACCAGGAGACGGAGAGTTCTAGTCCCGCCTTAGACACAAAAGCTGGGTGGGTGCCTTTGGGCCAATCACCAGGCGGTAGTGAGTTCTAGTTCTGCTTTAGACACGAAAGCCGGCTGGGTAATTTTGAGCCAATCCCTAGGAGACACTGAGTTCTAGTTCTGCCTTAGGCCTGAGAGCCATTTTATTGGGTGCCGTTCTAACTTCGAACGGTCACTAAACAGATGATTGTAAGTCAATATTGCATCTGAGGGACAGGAGATGGCGCTATTGCTGCATCCGTTTCTTGTCCGGCACCAATAGGTTCCAGAAGCTGGACATCCAGACTGAAGTTAATAATAATAATAATAGTAAAGTTGGAAGGGACCTTGAAGGTCATCTAGTCCAACCCTCTGCTCAGGCAGGAAACCCTATACCATTTCGGACAAATGGCTGTCCAGTCTCTTCTTAAAAACTTCCAGTGTTGGAGCATTCACTGCTTCTGGAGGCAGGTGGTTCCACTGGTTAATTGTTCTCACTGTCAGGAAGTTTCTCCTTAGTTCTAGGTTGCTTCTCTCCTTGATGAGTTTCCACCCGTTGCTTCTTGTCCTGCCTCCAGGTGCTTTGGAGAATAGCTTGACTCCCTCTTCTTTGGGGCAGCCCCTGAGATATTGGAAGGCTGCTATCATGTCCCCCCTCGTCCTTCTCTTCATTAAACTAGACATACCCAATTCCAGCAGCCGTTCCTTATATGCTTTAGCCTCCAGTCCCCTAATCATCTTTGTTGCTCTTCTCTGCACTCTTTTGTCCAGAGTAAGCTAACCTAGAGTTGAGCCTGCAGTTCCACAGGGTCAGTTGCGGCCCAGGCGCGCTCACGTCTGACTCCTCAAAAGATACCCAACGGTTTTGTGGCATTCGGGACTCGAACTAGTTTTGCTCCATGGTGGCCATTAAGCACGGCAGTCAGTCTTTGCTGCTCACACGATACAGCAGGACGGGGAAATAAATGTGATTTTTTAAGATTCAGTGAGATTGCAACTTCAGCCCAGGGTTGTGGGCAGTTGGTGCCTATCATGGGATTCAGCAAGGAGAACAAGCCAGTTCTAGATCCAGGTAGGAAAAATAAAAGGCTCGTGTCTACGGCCTAAGGCAGAGAGGTCCAACTTCGGCAAATTTTAGGACCTGTGGGCTTCCATCTCCCAGAATCCCCCAGCCAGCTATGTTCCATCTATTCCTCAGCCAGCTATGGCTCTGTCTCTGATAATTAGGCATTAATTAGTCTCTGTCTCTGATAATTAGTCCAAATGTGGCCACTTTAAGACTTGTGGACTTCAATTCCCAGAATTCTTCAGCCAGCATGGCTGGCTGAAGAATTCTGGGAGTTGAAGTCCACAAGTCTTAAAAGTCGACCAAGTTGGACACTCCTGGTCTAAGGTCTCCTGTCTTGAGCAAGGGGTTCGGACTAGAAGACCTCCAAGGTCCCTTCCAGCCCTGGGACTCTATGGTTCTAGATGTCTAGAATGGGGAGACCCAGCTTGGGAGGGTCTAAGCCAGTGGTTCTCAACCTTTTTAATGCCGCGACCCCCAACCGGTTGTAAGTCGAGGACTAAACCGGTCGTAAGTCAAGGACTAAACCAGTCGTAAGCCGAGGACTAAACCGGTCGTAAGTCGAGGACTACCCAATCGGTCGTAAGTCGAGGACTTTCCCTGCCCGGGAGCGCCGCACATGCGTGGTTCCGCCCCCTGCGCCGGCCGAGGCAAGCGGCAGAGACGGAGCAGGCCGACCACCAGCTGGCCCAGCCCAAGGGAGGTAAGGCACCCGCCGGAAAAGGGGGAAAAAAATGGCGGACAAAAAAAATGGCGGGCAGCCTTGCTTTTGGCAACCCCCATGAAATGGTCGATCGACCCCAAATGGGGTCGCAACCCATAGGTTGAGAACCGCTGGTCTAAGCCCCTCAACAAGTCGACCTCGAGCCAGCAATGAGAGGCCACTGCTCCAAAGCACGTGCAGAGCGCCGAAGGACAGCGAGAGACTTATCCAGCATTTCAAGAAAAGAGTCATACGCCACACGAGCGGTGTCCCCCCCTCACCGGTTTTGTCCGATTTGGCGGCCTCTTCGTCCGTCTCCTTCTGGGCCGTGCAGTGGTACCCCTTCTTCATCAACAGATTGCAGAAGAGGATGCCCAACAAGCCCATAATGCAGAAGACGGGGACGATGGCCAGCACCGCGTATTGCGTGGCGCTGTCGTCCGGCTTCCCGTCCCGGGTGCCGTTCAGCGCCGTTTTCTCGCCTCGCCTCGGAGGGGCCTCGGCGTTTCGGCTCAGGCGGGTGGGAGGTTTTCTGGAGCCTTCGGGAGAAGAAGAGTGGAAGAGGTCAGCGAGAAGACCTCACCGTGGATGGGTCATCAATGGGTGCAGGGAATGCAGGCAGTCCTCGGCTTACGACCATTCGTTGGGGGACCGTCGTTAAGTCGAGGACTGCCTGTGATATCTGACGATTCTTTGCGAAGGGGAGAATGAAAACGAGTGGAGAAAACGGCAACATCTGGAAACGATCGCTGAAAACCAAGAAGAGGCAAGGCCAGGGGCAGAACGTGGCCAGACATCCATGCGCCACTCCCTGTCTCAACATGTTCCCACGACCTGCTGCAACGTCTCCCCTTCCTTGAGTCAGCATGGGGGAACTATGGCCCCTTCATGACTCGTGGACTTCAACTCCCAGAATTCCTGAGCCAGCATGGCTCAGCTTGGAAACCTCTCCCTTTCCCCTCAGCATGGCTGGCTCAGGAATTCTGGGAGTTGAAGTCCACGAGTCATAAAAGGGCCAAGTTTGAAGACCCTTGGACTAGATCAGGGGTAGGCCACCTTGGCTCTTTTTTGACTCGTGGACTTCAACTCCCAGAATTCCTGAGCCAGCCTGGGGGAACTATGGTCCCTTTATGACTCATGGACTTCAACTCCCAGAATTCCTGAGCCAGCATGGGGGAACTATGGCCCCTTCATGACTCCTGGACTTCAACTCCCAGAATTCCTCAGCCAGCATGGGGAAAACTATGGCCCCTTCATGACTCGTGGACTTCAACTCCCAGAATTCCTGAGCCAGCATGGGGGAACTATAGCCCCTTCATGACTCGTGGACTTCAACTCCCAGAATTCCTGAGCCAGCATGGGGAAAACTTTGGCCCCTTCATGACTCGTGGACTTCAACTCCCAGAATTCCTGAGCCAGCATGGGGGAACTATAGCCCCTTCATGACNACTCCCAGAATTCCTGAGCCAGCATGGGGAAAACTATGGCCCCTTCATGACTCGTGGACTTCAACTCCCAGAATTCCTGAGCCAGCATGGGGGAACTATAGCCCCTTCATGACTCGTGGACTTCAACTCCCAGAATTCCTGAGCCAGCATGGGGAAAACTTTGGCCCCTTCATGACTCGTGGACTTCAACTCACAGAATTCCTGAGCCAGCATGGCTCAGCATGGAAACCTCTCCCTTTCCCCTCAGCATGGCTGGCTCAGGAATTCTGGGAGTTGAAGTCCACGAATCATAAAAGAGCCAAGGTGGCCTACCCCTGGGCTAGCCAAAATATGGCAACTAATATTGTAATAATTATTATTCAGTATTCAACTAGCGGGGATAATATCTGCATATCTGCATACCCTTCCAACTTTATTATTATTATTGTTGTTATCATCATCATCATCATCATCATCATTATTATACGTGTTGGGGTTTTTTGATGCACCTTTTTAAATGTTTTGATCATTTTGTGTTTTTTTTCCTTTTTAGATTTTTTCTTTCTTATTTTTTTTTTTGTTTTGTACTTTGCATTTTAGCCTTGTCTTGAACAAAAATATATATATACTTATATTAAAAAAACCAAAACAAAATACAGCTAGTCCTTGACTTACAACAGTTCATTGAGTGAACATTCAAAGTTACAACGGCACTTACGACCATTTCTAACACTTATGACCGTTGCAGAATCATCCCCATATGCTCAAAATTCAGACACTTGGCAACTGACTCGTATTTATGACGAGTGTCGCAGCGTCCCGGGGTCATGTGGATCCCCTTTGGCGACCTTCTGACAGATTCACTTAACAACCGGGTTGCTAACTTCACAAATGCAGGGGGATTCACTTAAGAAACGGTGGCAAGAAAGGTCGTAAAATGGGGCAAAACTCACTTAAAAATGGTCTCAATTAGCAGCGGAAATTCTGGGCTCGCTTGTGGCCTTAAACTGAGGACTAACTGTATGGGGACCCGCTCAGTGGCAGGGATGTTTCTTGGAAAAGGTCTTCCCAGTTATGTAAATGGGGGGGGATTTTATCTGAGAAACTGACTAGAAAGGATTAAGATTGGATTCGGTGATAGGGGGAAAAAACCCAAGGATGAAATCCAGGCGATTAACTTTCCGAAAGGCGGATGGGAGGAAAGGAAAGCCCTTGTTTGAATGGGCAGGAAGCCCCCTCCCCTGCTTTGCTCTCACCTTCACATCCGGGCACCCCTCTGGGGGCAGCCAGGCAAGGGAGGCACGGGCTTCTCGGATCCGTCTCCCCCTCTGGACTGTAGTACCTGCGGGAAGCAGAAAGAGGAGAGGTAAGAAAAATCTCGGGCGCGCAAAGAAACAGGGAGAACATTTGAATGTCCATCAGGAGGAGCAGCAGATGGAGGTTTCCATGACCGTCTCAGCTGAGAAAGGGATGGGGGGGGCTGTCTTGCATTCTGGGGAAAAGGGGGTCTAATGGCCCCCAGAGATCTTGCCTGAGAAAACTCTAGCCATAAATCAGTGCTAATGTTTTAGTTATAGGTAGTCTTTTCTGCTTATTATCTCTCTCTCTCTCTCTCTCTCTCTCTCTCTACATATATATATATAAATCTATTTATCATTTATCATTTATTATTTATATATATATCTTCTTATCATCTTTCCTTCTCTCTCTCATCTCTCATCTCTCTCTCTCTCTATCTATCTCTCTATCTATTTATCTATATCTATCTATCTATCTATCTATCTATCTCTATCTATCTATCTATCTCTATCTATCTATCTATCTATCTCTATCTATCTATCTATCTATCTATCTCTATCTATCTATCTATCTATCTATCTATCTCTATCTATCTATCTATCTATCTATCTATCTATCTATCTATCTATCTATCTATCTATCTATCTATTTATCATCTATCCATCCACTTACTTACCTATATCTCTACCTCTATCTACTATCTACTATCTCTATCTATCTATCTATCTATCTATCTATCTATCTATCTATCTATCTATCTATCTATCTATCTATCTATCTATCTATCTATATCTCTACCTCTATCTATCTATCTATCTATCTATCTATCTATCTATCTATTTATCATCTATCCATCCACTTACCTACCTATATCTCTACCTCTATCTACTATCTACTATCTCTATCTATCTATCTATCTATCTATCTATCTATCTATCTATCTATCTATCTATCTATCTATCTATCTATCTATCTATCTATCTATCTATCTATATCTCTACATCTATCTATCTATCTATCTATCTATCTATCTATCTATCTATCTATCTATCTATCTATCTATCTATCTATCTATCTATCTATCTAGCTGTCTGTCTGTCTGTCTGTCTGTCTGTCTGTCTATCTATCTATCTATCTATCTATCATTAAAATTGGGCAGGATCCCCTTAACAATGGCCTCGCTTAGCAACGGAAATTCCTGTCCATATTGTGGTTGTAAATGAAGGACTACCTGCATTGTAAATTATCTCTTTCTGGGGACTGGGCTTAGATGTAAGGACACATGAAATAAAATTATAATTCACTCTATTGCAGAGAGTGCCTTATTCAGGATCAGGTGAGACATGCACTTGGGCCCAGTTCAGGAAACTAAATCACAACGGGGGATTTTGATCTGTCAGCCCAATTTGGCTCTGGAGTCAGCAGTGGGAATTATGACTAAGATCATATCTAGTTTCTCTTCTCCTGCTTTGGATTACACAGGCCCAGCTGAGTTCAGCCAGATTTTGTGGTGACTCACTCAAACTCTCTCAACCTTTTGCACCCTGGAATTCCGAACAAAATGCTGCAATTCTCACATGTCTATTCCACATGAGATGGTCATGTGGAATTTACAATGTTTTTGGATGGAAATTGGGGTTTATAGACAATGGATTCACGCCAAAAAGATCATCAAACTGGGGACAGTCACATGGGGATCCGATTAACAACTTAATGACCGTAATTCTGTGCTCAATTGTGGTTATAGGTTGAGGACTATCTGTATAAAAGCCACCTCAAGTGTTTCACCAACCATCTAGTTTTTAGAGGGAGTCAAGCTATTCTCCAAAGCGCCTGAAGGCAGGACAAGAAGCAATGGATGGAAACTAATCAAAGAGAGAAGCAACCTAGAACTAAGGAGAAACTTCCTGACAGGGAGAACAATTAACCAGTGGAACTACCTGCCTCCAGAAGCGGTGAATGCGCCAACACTGGAAGTTTTTAAGAAGAGACTGGACAGCCATTTGTCCGAAATGGTATAGGGTTTCCTGCCTGAGCAGGGGGTTGGACTAGATGACCTCCAAGGTCCCTCCCAACTTTTTTATTATTATTACATGAGTGTCAGGTCAGCGAATGTTGGAAAAAACACAACACCCTTTCCCCAACAGCATTGCCAAAAATTGCCAGCACTGTCGAAGATACAGGTAACCCCTGACTTACGTCCACAATTCAGGCTGAAATTTCTGTCGCTAAATGAGACCGTTGTTAAGTGGCCCATTTGACAACCTTTCTTGCCACACTTGTTAAGCGAATCGCTGCGCGTGTTAAATTAGTAAACGCGGTCATTAAATGAATGTGGCTTCCCTTTTGACTGTTGTTTGTTGGAAGGTCGCAAAAGGGGAATCACATAATCCTGGGACACCGCGACCGTCATAAATATGAGTCAGTTGCCAGTGGCCTGAATTTTGATCAAGGGACCTTGAGGATGCTGCAACAGACGTAAGTGTGAAAAATGTCCAGAAGTGACATTTTTCAGCTCCTTTGTAACTTTGAACGGTCAAATAATAATAATAATAATAATAATAATAATAATAATAATAATAATAATAATAATAATAATAATAATAATAATAATAATAATAATAATAATAGTAAAGTTGGAAGGGACCTTGGAGGTCATCTAGTCCAACCCCTTGCTCAGGCAGGAAACCCTATACCATTTCACACAAATGGCTGTCCAGTCTCTTCTTAAAGACTTCCAGTGTTGGAGCATTCACCGCTTCTGGCGGCAGGTTGTTCCACGGGTTAATTGTTCTGACTGTCAGGAAGTTTCTCCTTAGTTCTAGGTTGCTTCTCTCCTTGATCAGTTTCCATCCGTTGCTTCTTGTCCTGCCCTCTGGGGCTTTGGAGAATAGCTTGACTCCCTCTTCTTTGGGGCAGCCCCTGAGATACTGGAAGACTGCTATCATGTCCCCCCTCGTCCTTCTTTTCTCTAGACTAGCCAAACTCAAATACTGCAATCAATCAATCAATTAGAATGGAGCTGGAAGGGACCTTGAAGGTCTTCTAGTCCAACCCCCTGCTCAGACGGGAAACCGTATACCATTTCGGACAAATGGCTGTCCAGTATCTTCTTAAAGACTTTCAGTGTTGGAGCATTCACCGCTTCTGGAGGCAGGTGGTTCCACTGGTTAACTGTTCTCACTGTCAGGAAATTCCTCCTTAGTTCCAGGTTGCTTCTCTCCTTGACTAGTTTCCATCCGTTGCTTCTTGTCCTGCCTTCAGGCACTTTGGAGAATAGCTTGACTGCCTCTTCTTTGGGGCAGCCCCTGAGATATTGGAACGCTCCTATCATGTCCCCCCTCGTCCTTCTCTTCGTTAAACCGGACATCCCCAATTCCAGCCACCGTTCCTTGTATGTTTTAGCCTCCAGTCCCCTGATCCTCTTTGTTGCTCTTCTCTGCACTCTTTCTAAGTCAAGGACTATCTGTGCCTTTAAAGCTTTGAAAATTTGGAATACGCAGGCCAGCCTGAGTTCACCCACGTTTTGGGGTGACTCACCGGAAGCCTCTCAACCTTCTTCTCCTTACAGGGTTCCTACAAGATCGGGCAATAGTCACATGTCTCCTCCACAGCGGCTGCAAAGTTTTGAGCCTGCCCCTCGACCAGGAGTCACCTCATCAGTCAACAATTCCCACACCCAGAATTCAAAAGATCTGAGCAGTTTTCAGTTTTGTTCTATTTTCTCAGTGGCCGCCCCAAAGAGGGAGTTAGTAACTTGCAATCCTGGTAAGGATCCTGGCTCTTTAGTTGCTACCCAAGGACATCGAGACAACAGGTTGCAAAAACTGGGTGTATCTTCCTTCCTATACCTGCAAGATTCCTGCTTTGTGTGTGAGAACTAGCGAGGACAACAAAAACACGACAGCTTGCAAAAGTTCGTTTAGCGACCGTTCAAAGTTACAACGGCACCGGAAAAGGTGCCTTACGACCGTTTTTCACACTTACGACCGTTGCAGCATTCCTAGCGTCGAGGGATCAAAATACAGAAGCGTCATAACTGGTTCATATTTACGACGGTCGCAGCGTCCGGGGGGGGTCACGTTGACCCCCTTTTGCAAACCTCTGACAAGCAAAGTCAGCGGGGGAGGCCGATTCACTGAACAACCTTGTGACTCCCTTCACAACTGCAGCGATTTACAAAACAAAAGCCGCCAGAAAGATCACAAAACAGGGCAAAATTCACTTAGCAACGGTCTCGCTTGGTGACATAAATGTCAGAATCCATCGTAGTCTACGTCACGGACCACGTGTAGTGGTAGTCCTTGACTTATGACTGCAACCGAGCGCAGAATTAAGGGAATCGCTGCAGTTGTTAAGATAGTAACTGGGGGTTGGACTAGATGACCTCCCAGGTCCCTTCCAACATCATCCTCATCCTCATTCTCATCCTCATCCTCATCCTCATTATTATTATTATTATTATTATTATTATCATCATCATCATCATCATCATCATCATCATCATCATATCATTATTATCATAATTATCATCATCATATCATTATTATCATTATTATCATTATTATTATTATTATTTTATTGTCATCATTATTATCATTATTGTCATTATTATCATTATTATCATCATTATTATCATTATTATTATTATTATCATCATTATCATCATCATCATCATTATTATATTTATTATTATCATTGTCATTATCGTCATTATTATCATTATCATTATCATCATCATCATCATCATTATTATCATTGTCATTATTATTGTTATTATCATCATTATTATCATTATCATTATATCATATTATTATTATTATGGTTGTTAAGGGAATCTTGCTTCCCCATTGAGTGGGCTTGTCAGAAGGTCACTAAAAGGGGATCACGTGACCCCAGGACGCTGCGACCGTCATAAATGTGAGCCAGTTGCCAAGTCTGAATTTTGATCGCGTGACCACGGGAATGCTGCAACGGTCGTGAGTGTGACGAACAGCCGTTTTTCAGTGCCGTTGTAACTTCGGTCACTAAACGGACAGTTGTAAGTTGAGGACTGCCTGTAATCTTCCTAGAAGTCAGTAGGATTTCTGATTTCTGCAGCTGCTCTGCGCAAAAATGCTAGGAATCTGGTCGCAGCCCCCGGAGTGAGTTGGTCAGTGGGCGGCCACAAAGATCACAGAAAGACGAGAACGAGGCTGCCTCACCAGCGCTGGCAGCCGAGCCCCATCCCTTGTGCAGCGGGTTGCTAAAAAAAAGTCCAGAAGCAGGTATGTGTGTGGGTGTGTGGGTGTGTGCAGGCACATGACGGAGACATGTGTGAAGAACTGTGGGGATCTTGGCACACACAGCACACCAGGCAGGAGGTCCCTGACGCCAAAGCAGGTCGAGGCAGGGCCCAAATCTCTGCAGAGTTTTAATCTCTAGCCATTGGAGAGTTTCCTGTTCCAGGTTGCGTACAGCGGTCCTCGATTTACAACAGTTCATTTAGTGACCGTTCGAAGTTACAGCAGCACTGAAAAAAGAGACTTATGACTGTTTTTCACACTTAGGGCCGTTGCGGCGTCCCGATGGCTCCCTATGCATTCCTTTTTTTTTATCAGCCAAAAAAGCGAATACAATTCTTGGATGTATAAACAGAGAAATCAAAATCAGGTGAAGTATTAGCACCGCTTTATAAAGCCGTAGTAAGGCCACACCTGGAATACAGCATCCAGTTTTGGTCACCACGATATAAATAAGATATAAATAAGACAAGGGGGGACAGGATAGCAGCCTTCCAGTATCTCAGGGGCTGCCCCAAAGAAGAGGGAGTCAAGCTATTCTCCAAAGTGCCTGAAGGCAGGACAAGAAGCAACGGATGGAAACTCATCAAGGAGAGAAGCAACCTGGAACTAAGGAGGAACTTCCTGACAGTCAGAACAATGAACCAGTGGAACCACCTGCCACCAGAAGTGGTGAATGCTCTAACACTGAAAGTCTTTAAGAAGAAACTGGACAGCCATTTGTCTGAAATGGTGTAGGGTTTCCTGCCTGAGCAAGGGGTTGGACTAGATGACCTCCAAGATCCCTTCCAACTTTTTTATCATCATCATCATCATCATCATCATCATCATCATCATCATCATCATCATTATTATTATTATTATTATTATTATTATTATTATTATTATTATTATTATTATGCTGAGACTTTGGAAAAAGTTCAGAAAAGAGCAACTAAGATGATTCAGGGCCTGGAGACAAAACCATATATAAAGAACGGTTGCAAGATTCGGGTAAATGCCAGTCTAGAGAAAAGAAGGAGTAGGGGGGACATGATAGCAGCATCCCCAATATTTGGGGGGCTGCCAGAAAGACGAGGGGGTCAAACTATTCTCCAAAGCACCAGAGGGGGTTGGACTAGATGACCTCCAAGGTACCTTCCAACTCTGTTATTCTATTCTCCAAAGCCCCTGAAGGCAGGACAAGAAGCAACAGATGGAAACTCATCCAGGAGAGAAGCAACCTGGAACTAAGGAGAAACTTCCTAACAGTTAGAACAATTAACCAGTGGAACTACCTGCCTCCAGAAGTTGTGAATGCTCCAACACTGGAAGTTTTTAAGAAGAGACCGGACAGCCAATTGTCTGAAAGAGTACAGGGGGCTGGACTAGAAGACCTCCAAGGTCCCTTCCAGCTCTATTCTGATTGACTGATTGATCAAAATTGAGACGCTTGGCAACTGGTTCACATTTATGACGGTCACAGCGTCCCCCGGGGTCACGCGATCCCCTTTTGGGACCTTCTGACAAGCAAATTCAATGGGGGAAAAGCCAGATTCACTTAACGACGGTGTGACTCACTTAACAACTGCAGTGATTCGCTTAACAACGGTGGCAAGAAGGGTCATAAAATGGGGTAAAATTCATTTAATAACTGTCTGGCTTTAGCAACAGACGTTTGGGGCTCAATTGTGGTCGTAAGGCGAGGACTGCCTGTTTTCAGGAACCCGAGCTGACCCTCTCTACGAATCTAACCTTGAACGGTGAAATGAAACGTGAAGATATTATGGGACGATTCTTAATCGGATTATCCTCCAGGACATTACGATCGTTGTGTCCCCTGTTTCTCCCTCTTTTGTAACTTGAGAAAACCAGCTCTCTCTGCAATTTTTGATTCGTTTTTTTGTTGTTGTTCAAAATCCATTAGAAAACATATACCTTGTAAAACAAAACACAACCTCTAAAATAATTGTCCCTATTTTTGTCGGGGATCACGAGGCTCCGTTTTTCGACTTCCCACACACGTCCTTGTGACTTTTTCCGTGATTTGACATTGAGCAGGTTATGTTGGACCTCACTTCCCTTCCCTTCTGCGGCCTGGAATAGGCCTATATAGGTGGTCCTCATTTAGCGACCGTCTGAATTGACAAGGGCACTGGCTGGGGAATTCTGGCCGTTGAAGTCCACAGGTCTTCAAAGTGTGGCCAAGGTTGGACGTCCCTGCTCTAAGCTGGACAGAATCAAAAAATCAGAGCCCGAAACATCTGTCCAGTGGTTCCCTTGGGGAAGACCTATATGTCAACGCTGCTAACGTTGGATGTTCTTGCTTTGACAACATGTGGAGATGCAGCCTTATTCTTCCTTATGCTTTATTCTTAGAATTAGATGATGCTGGGGTAGGAGGAGGAATGTGATGGGAGTTAGTTAGACATAACAATATTGTGATAGTGTGTGAATTCAGGGCTTTTGGAATAAAGAGATGATAAGAAATGGCGGGGTTGAAGAACTGGAGGGAAAGCCTGCATTTCAAGCTAATTGGAGGATGTGGTTTCTGACTGATAATAATAATAATAATAATAATAATAATAATAATAATAATAATAATAATAGTAGTAGTAGTAGTAGTAGTAGTAATAATAATAATAATAATAATAATAATAATAATAATAATAATAATAATAATAATAATAATAATAATAATAATAAAGTTGGAAGGGACCTTGGAGATCATCAAGTCCAACCCCCTGCTCAGGCAGGAAACCCTATACCATTTCAGACAAATGGCTGTCCAGTCTCTTCTTAAAAGCTTCCAGTGTTGGAGCATTCACAGCTTCTGGAGGCAGGTAGTTCCACTGGTTAATTGTTCTAACTGTCAGGAAGTTTCTCCTTAGTTCTAGGTTGCTTCTCTCCTTGGTTAGTTTCCATCCGTTGCTTCTTCTCCTGCCTTCAGGCGCTTTGGAGAATAGCTTGACTCCCTCTTCCTTGGGGCAGCCCCTGAGATACTGGAAGACTGCTATCATGTCCCCCCTCGTCCTTCTCTTCGTTAAACTAGACATCCCCAATTCCAGCAACCGTTCCTTATATGCTTTAGCCTCCAGTCCCCTAATCATCTTTGTTGCTCTTCTCTGCACTCTTTCTAGAGTCTCAGCATCTTTTTTACATCATGGTGACCAAAACTGGATGCAGTATTCCAAGTGTGGCCTTACCAAGGCCTTGTAAAGTGGTATTAACACTTCACGTGATCTTGATTCTATCCCTCTGTTAATGCAGCCTAGCACTGTGTTGGCCTTTTTGGCAGCTGCAGCACACGGCTGGCTCACATTTAAATGATTGTCGACTAGGACTCTGAGATCCCTCTCACAGTTACTACTATTGAGCAAGGTACCCCCTATACTATACCTGTGCATTTGGGTTTTTTTGCCTAATTGGAGGAGGGAATTGTGCTTGGATACTATGTGCTCAGGGGAGAGGAATCCAGATTTTGGCTTCAACTATGTACGTGCCAATGCTATGCTGCTCCAATAAAGATTCTTTAAGGTAAACAATGCCTCGAAGTTCTTTGAAGAGTTTCATCTGTTGGAACCATGGCATGATATCCCAAACCAGGTGTCCACTGATTCTACGTGACCTTCTCCATTTCTCAGAGACCCTTCCTTACCTGGGCTTGTCCGGAGACAGGAGAAGACATTTCTTGCAAGAGAACTGGACAGAAAAGGTGCAGGTGAGAACTCACCCAGGTAAGCAGGCCCCACACCAAGTGTCTGCAGTCGCCGTTCCGATGTGGAGGCGGACCCTCATCTTGGCCTCCTCGCAAGGAGTATGCAAGGAGCAGAATCCCAGCCCAGAGGTGGGAGAGAAGGAACCGGCCGGACACGGCTTGCAGGCCGTCCCTAATCCGGCACCGTAACCGCATTTCTATGGGGGAAATGAAACACAAATATTGTTTAAAGGGAGGACGGGCGCCTCGGCTGGGATAAGGCGTCCCTCGAACTCAGTAATTAGGGTTCGTGTTGTGGGGTCCTCGGTGCTTCTCTTGAGCTGGGTGGTTTTCTTGCAGACGTTTCATGACCCAACTAGGTAACGTCATCAGTGCTAGGAGGGAGGAGGAGAAGGAAGGAAGGAAGGAAGGAAGGAAGGAAGGAAGGAAGGAAGGAAGGAAGGAAGGAAGGAAGGAAGGAAGGAAGGAAGGANGGTTTTTCTTGCAGACGTTTCATGACCCAACTAGGTAACGTCATCAGTGCTAGGAGGGAGGAGGAGAAGGAAGGAAGGAAGGAAGGAAGGAAGGAAGGAAGGAAGGAAGGAAGGAAGGAAGGAAGGAAGGAAGGAAGGAAGGAAGGAAGGACGGACTGTGGGGTCCTTGGTAGTGTCTGAGCTTGGTGGTTTTTCTTGCAGACGTTTCATGACCCAACTAGGTAACGTCATCAGTGCTAGGAGGGAGGAGGAGAAGGAAGGAAGGAAGGAAGGAAGGAAGGAAGGAAGGAAGGAAGGAAGGAAGGAAGGACGGACTGTGGGGTCCTTGGTAGTGTCTGAGCTTGGTGGTTTTTCTTGCAGACGTTTCATGACCCAACTAGGTAACGTCATCAGTGCTAGGAGGGAGTGGGGGTTTGCTCTCTTTTATACGCTTGCCCTTTTCAGTGTTCAGGGCCAGTTTCATTGTTACACAGAGCAAATATCGTCCCTCTCCAAATCAATGATAATGGTAGCATTGCCAGAAAAACCCAGCCTTCCTTCCTTCCTTCCTTCCTTCTTTTCCTCCTTTGCCTCTCTCTCCTTCCGTTCTTCCTCCCTCTATCCTTCCTTCTTTTCATTCTCTCCCTTCTCCTTCCTTCTTTCCGTCGTCCAGTCTTTCCTCCTCCTTCTCTCTCTGCCCTTCTTCTTTCCCTCCTCTCCTCTCCTTCCTCCCTTCCACTCTCCCTCCTTCCCCATTTTCTCCCTTCCCTCTCTACTTCCTTCCTTCCCTCTCTCTTGTTCCTCCCTCCCTCTTTTCTTTCCTTCCTTCCTTCCCTCCTCCCCTCTCTCTCCTTCTTTCCTTCCACTCTCCTTTCTCCATTTTCTCCCTTCCCTCTACTTCCTTCCTTCCCTCTCTCTTGTTCCTCCCTTCCTTCCTCCTTCTCTTTTCTTTCTTTCTTCCTTCCTTCTTTCTTTTCCTTCTTCCTTGCCTCTCTCCTTCCGTTCTTCCTCCCTCTATCCTTCCTTCTTTTCATTCTCTCCCTTCCTTCTCCTTCCTTCTTTTTGTCCTTCCAGTCTTTCTTCCTTCTTCTCTCTGCCCTTCTTCTTTCCCTCCTCCCCTCTCTCTCCTTCTTCCCTTCCACTCTCCCTTCCTCATTTTCTCCCTTCCCTCTCTCTACTTCCTTCCCTCTCTTGTTCCTCTCTCTCTCCCTCTTTTCTTTCCTTCCTTCCCTCTCCTTCCTTCTTTTCCTCCTTCCTTGCCTCTCTCCTTCTGTTCTTCCCCTTCTGTCCTTCCTTCTTTACATTCTCTCCCTTCCTTCTCCTTCCTCCTTTCCTTGTCCTTCCAGTCTTTCTTCCTTCTTCTCTCTGCCCTTCTTCTTTCCCTCCTCCCCTCTCTCTCCTTCTTCCCTTCCACTCTCCCTTCCTCATTTTCTCCCTTCCCTCTCTTTTGATCCTCCATCCCTCCCTCTTTTCTTTCTTTCTTTCTTTCTTTCTTTCTTTCTTTCTTTCTTTCTTTCTTTCTTTCTTTCTTTTTCTTTCTTTCTTTCTTTCTTTCTTTCTTTCTTCCTTCCTTTTCTTCTCCTTCTCCTTCTTCCCTTCCATTCTCTCTTCATTTGCTCCCTTCCCTCTCTTGATCCTCCATCCATCCCTCCCTCTTTTCTTTCTTTCCTTCCTTCCTTTTTCTTCCTTCCTTCCTTCTCCTTCCTTCTTTTCCTCCTTCCTTGCCTCTCTCCTTCCGTTCTTCCTCCCTCTATCCTTCCTTCTTTTCATTCTCTCCCTTCCTTCTCCTTCCTTCTTTCCCTGTCCTTCCAGTCTTTCCTCTTCCTTCTCTCTGCCCTTCTTCTTTCCTTCCTCCCCTCTCTCCTTCCTCCCTTCCACTCTCCCCCATTTTCTCCCTTCCCTCTCTCTACTTCCTTCCTTCCCTCTCTTGTTCCTCTCTCTCTCTCTCCCTCTTTTCTTTCCTTCCTTCCCTCTCCTTCCTTCTTTTCCTCCTTCCTTGCCTCTCTCCTTCTGTTCGTCCTCCCTCTGTCCTTCCTTCTTTACATTCTCTCCCTTCCTTCTCCTTCCTTCTTTCCCTGTCCTTCCAGTCTTTCCTCCTTCTTCTCTCTGCCCTCCTTCTTTCCTTCCTCCCCTCTCTCTCCTTCTTCCCTTCCACTCTCCCTTCCTCATTTTCTCCCTTCCCTCTCTCTTGTTCCTCCCTCCCTCCCTCTTTTCTTTCTTTCTTTCTTTCTTTCTTTCTTTCTTTCTTTCTTTCTTTCTTTCTTTCTTCCTTCCTTCCTTCCTTCCTTTCTTTCTTTCTTCCTTCCTTCCTTTCTTCCTTCCTTCCTTCCTTCCCCCTCCCCCCTCCTTCATTTGGGTATCGAATTAACTCCCAGAATGCTCCAGCCAGCATGGATTCTGGGAGCTGAAGTCCACAAATCTTCAAGGTTGAGAAACACCGACTGGGTCAAACAGACCCACTTTCTGAGTTCACACAGACCACTAAAGTGCTTCTGCGGAAAAGGTGGTGCTGTGTTAACGGAGAGCCTCTGCAGAGGCCTGTAGAGACCATTTACTCACTCTGTCAGGCTCTTCTCCAGCTGGACACGTCTGGCAGAGGACACAGCGACCGTCCTCGCCCCGATATTCTTGGCCCCCACAGGCTTGAGCCCAGGCTGGGTGCCAACAGAGAGCCTAAAACAAAAGAGCAGAGAGGAGACAAAGCTTGGGGGGGGGGTCTCTCTTTTAGCATTACCCCCTTAAGGTGAGGAGGGAAGGATGGACAGAAGTCAAAAGATTCTATTTTCTGCAGAAACTATCAAGGGTATTTATTTATTTATTCCTTCCGGCCTGTCCAATACACTGCAGTGCAGAGCTATTCCTTTTCCTCAAATAGAACCGAAGGACTGCAGGCCTCTGAAAACACAATGTTTTAAAGAAAGATGGTGTGCGAGGTTTCCTGCCTTGGGCTGGGAGGGGGGGTGGACTAGAAGGCCTCCAGGGTCTCTTCCACCCTTCCATGTTTTTGTGTTTCCTTGAAACTTGCAAATGGGCTGCTCCAAATGATGTATTTGATCAAAGTAGGAGCTTTCTTTCTTTCTTTCTTTCTTTCTTTATTTCTATCTTCCCTCCTTCCTTCCTCCTTCTTTCCTTCTCTCCTTCCTTCCTCTCTCCTTTTCTCCATACATCCCTCCCTCCCTTCTTGCCCTTCCCTCCTTCTCTCCCTCCTTCCCCTTCCTTTGTTCCTTCCTTCCTTTCTCCCTTCTTCCCTCCTTCTATCCCTACAGCCATCCTTCTCTCACTTCCTTCTTCCCCTTTCCTCACACCCACTCCTTCCTTCCCTCCTTTCTTTGCTCCTTCCTTCCTTCCTTTGCTCCTTCCTTCCTTCCTCTTTCCTCCCTTCTTTTCCTTCCTTTGCTCCTTCCTTCCTTCGCTCCTTCCTTCCTTCCTTCCTTCTTTCCTTCCTTCCTTCTTTCCTTCCTTTGCTCCTTCCTTCCTTCCTTCCTTCCTCTTTCCTTCGTTCCTTCCTTCCTTCCTTCGTTCCTTCCTTCCTCTTTTCTTCCTTCCTTTGCTCCTTCCTTCCTTCCTTTCCTTCCTTCCTTCGTTCCTTCGTTCCTTCCTTCCTCTTTTCTTCCTTCCTTTGCTCCTTCCTTCCTTCTTTTCTTCCTCCCTCCCTCCCTCCCTCCCTGCTTCACATGGGTATTGAATTAACAGTTGCCCGAGCTTTGACACAAACCACGAATAAATATGCAATAGCATTTTAGAGTCGAACAGACCAAGAAACCTCAACACCCCCCAACACCATTGAATCTTAGCTAAGCTTAGCGTGTTGTGTGAATGCAGTCCCACGGATTGCAACTGAACTGCTCCACAGCCGAACACAGCTGGGACTCTTGCTCTTCTGGGTTTGCCCTCTAGTCATGCCCAGAAAAGAGGTGATCTATTTCCAGCATCGACTCCTTGTGCGGAGACACATCACAGCTGTCCCAAAGGTGCTTTTCCAAAAGACTCCATTTTTCCCCCCTTGAAGACATTTCGCTTCTCGCGCAAGAAGCTTCTTCAGTTCTGGCTGACTCCTTCCCTTCGGTCAGAACCGAAGAAGCTTCTTGGATGAGAAGCGAAACGTCTTCAAGGGAAAAAACAAAAAACAAAATCCAGTTTGCCTTTTGAAAAAGCACCTTTGGGACTTCTCAGCCACCGTCGGTCTTTTCCTTCGTCTGCAAATGTTCCTTGAACTGAACGTTTGAGAATCGCACTCCCGGATCGATGCCAAACCTCAGCAAGTTAACAAGCCACAAAGGAACCAGGCTGAGTCCTGCAACCTTTAAAAGCTGCAAATCATTTAGATGTGGAAGAATGAACTTTACAGTCACCCTTCTCCTTAAATCAACTCCTGGCCGGAGGCACGTGGGAGGAAAAGGCAAAAGGAGAGAGGGATCATTTGCAGCAAAATCCATCCTAAGGGCAGACAAGGCCAGAGTCCTCCCCACCAGCTTTGTATCGTATGTGTGAAGAAGAGAATCACATCATTGAAAGGGACCTTGGAGGTCTTCTAGTCCAACCCCCTGCTCAGGCAGGAAGCCCTATACTCTTTTAGACAGTCTCTTCTTAAAGACCTCCAGTGTTGGAGCACCCACAACTTCTGGTGGCAGGTTGTTCCACTGGTTAATTGTCCTGACTGTCAGAAAATTCCTCCTTAGTTCCAGGTTGCTTCTCTCCTGGATTAGTTCCCATCTGTTGCTTCTTGTCCTGCCTTCAGGGGCTTTGGAGAACAGAATAACAGAATAAGAGAGTTGAAAGGGACCTTGGAGGTCATCTAGTCCAACCACCTGCTCAGGCAGGAAACCCTGGCCTATACCATTTCGGACAAATGGCTGTCCAGTCTCTTCTTAAAGACTTCCAGTGTTGGCGCATTCACCGCTTCTGGAGGCAGGTTGTTCCACTGGTTAATTGTCCTGACTGTCAGGAAATTTCTCCTTAGTTCTAGGTTGCTTCTCTCCTTGATTAGTTTCCATCCGTTGCTTCTTGTCCTGCCTTCAGGCGCTTTGGAGAATAGCTTGACTGCCTCTTCTTTGGGGCAGCACCTGAGATACTGGAAGACTGCTATCATGTCCCCCCTCGTCCTTCTCTTCATTAAACTAGACAATTCCTGCAACCGTTTCTTCTATGTTTTAGCCTCCGGTCCCCTAATCCTCCTTGTTGCTCTTATCTGCACTCTTTCTAGAGTCTCAACATATTTTTTTTTAATATCGTGGTGACCCAAACTGGATGCAGTATTCCAAGTGTGGTTTTACTAAGGCTTTATAAAGCGGTACTGTAACTTCACGTGATCTGGATTCTATCCCTCTGTTAATTAACGCAGCCTAGGACTGCGTTGGCATTTTTTGGCAGCTGCAGCACAATGCTGGTTCCTATTTAAGTAAGAGGACCAGTTTAGCAGCCCCTGTTCTTAGTGGGTGCCCTTTAATTTTCCATTGCTGTGACTCAGGTCTTCCAACGTGGGCCAACTTTCCACGCTAAGAAATCCTGTGATTCAGATACTAGGTAGAAGGATAAATCTGAGGAGGATGGAATTTAAGGGGGTGATTTAAAGGGGCCACCTCTGAGCCCTACCCCTGGCTATAGAGCAGGAATCAAAATTCAATTATCCCTGATGCTGGTACAGATAATCCTCAGTTTACAACCGACTGTTTATTGTCAAAGGAATTTTCAAGAAGAGACTGGACAATCACCTGTCTGAGATGGTATAGGTTCTCCTGCTTGAGCAGGGGGATGGACTAGAAGACCTCCAAGGTCCCTCCCAGTTCTATTCTATTCTATTCTATTCTATTCTATTCTATTCTATTCTATTCTATTCTATCCTATTCTGTAATTCTATTCTATTCTATTCTATTCTATTCTATTCTATTCTGTATTTCTATTCTATTCTATTTCTATTCTATTCTATTCTATTCTATTCTATTCTATTCTATTCTATTCTATTCTATTCTATTCTATTCTATTCTGTAATTCTATTCTATTCTGTAATTCTATTCTATTCTGTTCTGTAATTCTATTCTATTCTGTAATTCTATTCTATTCTGTAATTCTATTCTATTTCTATTCTATTCTATTCTATTCTATTCTGTAATTCTATTTTATTCTATTCTATTGTATTTCTATTCTATTCTATTTCTATTCTATTCTGTAATTCTATTCTATTCTATTTCTATTTCTATTCTATTCTATTCTATTCTATTCTATTCTGTAATTCTATTCTATTCTGTATTTCTATTCTATTTCTATTCTATTTTGTAATTCTATTCTATTCTGTTCTGTAATTCTATTCTATTCTATTCTGTAATTCTATTCTATTCTGTATTTCTATTCTATTTCTATTTCTATTCTATTTTGTATTTCTATTCTATTCTGTTCTGTAATTCTATTCTATTCTATTCTATTCTATTCTATTCTATTCTATTCTATTCTATTCTATTCTATTCTATTCACCATTCAAAGTTACAACTGCACCGAAAAACAGGGACTTATGAATATTTCTCACACTTACGACCGTTGCAGCATCCCCAGGG